GCTTCCAAAGATCTCCAGGCTCTCCTTGAGATAATCCGTTCACACTGTAGATATTTTAACATTAGTTTTCATACATCAAACTTTTGCTAATAGTGTTGCTTTTCAGTGTTTACCTGGTAGTTTTGTCTTGCCAGACAGACTGTGGTCTTCTCATAGGCTGAAGCTGTATCCTATTCTTGACATTTGTGTCACATAGCCTTAGTCAGTGGTTGTTAAATACCATTGGTTAATTGCATTTGCAGGTGGGATGAGAACTCTGGTATTTCTTCTCTTTCACAAGACCACATGGTCAAAAAAAGCAAAGACTACTAGGTGGTTTTAACAAATAGTTTCTTCTGTATTCCAGAACATTCGCTAATATCTGGGAAAAAAGCATGCCACTGCATCTGTTAAGTGTCAGTAGACGTTTTAGGCAGCTGGAAGGCAAAAATATACTGAAATATAGCAGAATACTCCCCCAACTACATCCACTCTGTAGCTGTTCTCTGGTTTCAGGAAATCTTCATCCTTGTCAGGAGAGTCTGCAGGGAGCTTGCCCAGAGTTCCTACAGCAGCCCCAGGCCAGCTGGCAGTATCTCCTGCAGAGTGGGATTTCTGTGAAAAAGGCGGCACTTCTGGTAAATTCAGAGAAATTAAAAGGCTATATGGCTGTAGGCAAATGTATTCACGTTAAATCTGTACTGTGTTCCAGAAGGAAATGGCTTTACTCATCAGCTGCCTATTTGCAATTGCCATTTGTTTCCAAGTAAGGGAAGATTACCAAAAATGTTTATTTTTTAGCTTATTCAAATATTTACATTTTCTCTAGCTTCTTTTCTGAAACATTTTGGCTCATTCTTTTTTCTGATAAACAACTGCTGTTCAGATTTCCTTTGTTCCAGTAGATTATGAATGTTAGCTTTAGGATGGATCTGTTTCTTCAAAGGATCATGGGCAAGTGAGAGTCCACATAGATTGATACGTTGCTAAGTAAAGAAAATTGGACAGTGATAATTGGCAGTTTGTTCTCTGACCCCAGAAACTGCAATCTAAAAATTAATATCCTAAGGATTTCAGAGAGAGAAGAGAACTGCTTTGTGAATGCCTGGCATGTTTAGATAGTCCCTCAAAAAGGGAGCCAGCAGAGGGGCAGGCTTCTGTGCTTTATACTCCTTATTCCTCAAGGCTACTTTTCTAGCCAAAGGGTCAGCCTTCGCAAATCTTCTACCCAGCCCCACTCACAAGCTCATTTCCCTCCCCCTTGCCTTTCTGAGATACTCGGGTGCTAATCTTGTCCCCTGCCCTCTACATTGTCGTTAGGGCCTTTGACCCCATTTGCCATTCTTTGCTTTCCTAGAAGTTCTGGTCCTTGGTTAGCTGTGCCTCTGCTTACAATAACTGAGACCTAGAATAAAAGAGACAGCATATGTGGGGAAACATACATGTGGCTTTGAATCTGTTAAGTTTGAGAGAGAGATTATTTTATATATATATATGTATATATATATATATATATATATATATATATAGTAGGTAATTGGGCATATGGGGGAGCTTGAAGGTATAAGAGAGTGAGAGACAAGTGGATGATACGAGATCCTATCAGTGGTGAAATGGACTAGAACCTAATATACTAGGAGAAGAAAGTTCATTATTTAGAGAGGAGGATATATCTCTCCTTGGGACTGGAGTACAGAGGTTGAGTACTCTAACAGATCTCTCTCATGCTGATAAGAATGACAGGAGGTTCCTGTGGGTTAGCCGAAGGAGATGACGACATTGTCTGAAGAGTGAGGAAGTAGTGAGGGCAGCAGGTGGTGAAGTGGTGAGGTCCTGTGACATTTGGAATGAGTAGACTAGGGAAGGAGAGGAGTTGTGAAGAAGGGCTTGCTGATAGGATTAAGGGCCTGTTCTGAGCCTGGAGGGTCATCTTTGTGTAGAAGCACCCTTCTCTCTGGGGATATGATTCCCTCCAGCAGTGCTGGGCACCTGTAGAGTCAGAGATTGTCAGGGTGCTGGTGTGGCCCTCTGAGGTATGAGGGTGCCAATATGGCTGTGTCGTTAAGTCGTCTTTGGAGCACAAGCTCTGGGAAGGTGAAACCAAGTCACTGGCTGGGCTGGAGAGGAGAGAAATAGCTGAATTGGCCATTGCATTCAGCTCTGAGCACAGCCCTTGGCTTACAAATGTGCTTCATAAATGTTGGCTGAATCAGGGTGGTGGAGACAACTGGTTTTGTAGGAATCAGAAATAGCGATGGGATCTTTGATTGGGTGGGATTTGTGCATTTGTTGTGGTTCTGGAGTATTTATTATGTAGCAATGCTGAATACTTAATATTGAAGCGACCAGGAAGATGGCAGGAGACAAAGTGAGCCAAGGGCAAAGGCCTCTGCAAAGTTTTTGTCTGTTGTTGATGTATGTTGATGGTGTGAGAAATAACCATCTTGAGTAGAATTTGTGAACTTCAGGATATAGGGGATTTTGCATGAGGGGAGAATGTCTAGAAAGGACCTAATGATCCTAAACAAATACTGTCTGGGTCCTGATGGTCAGGTGTTGTAAGAACTGAATAATAGACAGGGGAAGAAATGACTTCTGAGGAAAGTCAGGTTACGGGAGAAAGTGGGGAAGACAATTGTGAAAAGCCTAAGAGTGTAGGAGGCAGTTTTAGAATAGTGGGGGTCCCAAGATGGAAGACAGAACAGAAGGGCTGCAACAATGTTCTTGGCAGAGCATGGGAGCTTGTGTCAGAATCTCTGGGGTCAGTAGTAAGCTGTGCTTGTGGGGAAGTTCAGTGGGGCAGTAGGGTAGCTACTCTGGAATGACTGCTGATGCCACTGGGGTCTGCATTTATCGGGCAGCCCTGTGCCAGCCTGAGAGCGTGTTGTATTAATTATCCTATTTGATCCTCATAATGTGTTGTAGTACCTTCCTTTTACAAAAACTGAAACTCAGAAAAGTAAGGGTCACAGAGCCTCATGGTTCCAGTCCAGTTCTTGCTTTATTTCTGTTTTGCATTTGCCCTTCATGTATTGTCCTGTTCAAAGATAGCATGGATGTAGGGATATAGGCAATGAATTCTCAGTATTGTTCGAAAGCCTGCTTCTTGGCCCAAACGCTGCCAGGGTGTAGCTAGCTATCTAGCACCCCCTGGTGGCAGTGACAGTATTGTGGTGTGCTAAGGTAAGCGTGAGTATGGACTAGCTCAAGGTACCAGTAAGTCCCTGATACCCAGCAGCAAGAACATTTTCTTTGTTGTGAACATGGCACTTACCAGATACAGCCTTTAACAGTTGTTTGCATGTGTATCTTAACTGCAAAGTAATAGTTTGATATTTGTATATCCATACAGTGTTCAGGGACATTCAAGTATGAAAGTGTGAAAAGAGACCCACTCATAGGGGGAGTTAAATTCATTGGCATGAATGCTTCTTATCCATGGATAGACAGATTTGCCCCAGCCAATCCCTTTCCTTATAAGCTCAGATGATACTCTCTTCCTCTTTCTTTTCATCTTTATTATGTCCCGTTTTATTGGCTTTTTTCATTAGCATATAAACACATTTTAATACCTCTCATTAAAGAAAGAAAAGCCTCAGAATCAGTACCCCCCCCAACCCCCAACCTGGTTCCTTTTTTCCTGGTTAAGTTTCTTAAAGAATGGTTTCCTAAACCTCTTCTACCACTCTTTTCCCAACCCATTGCTCCTTGGCTCCTGCCGATTCTAGCTCTTCACCAAAACCACCCTTGTGACCACTGAGTGGTAGAGGAGTACCATTCTTACCAAGACCCCAGCGGGGTGTACAAAGAGTAATGTGAAATGTAAGGCCTCATTAAAGGTCTTGAAGGTGGCAGCTGTTCCGAATTTCAGCTGTTGTTTTGCAGTTTGAGCTGTTTCTTCCATGACCATCAGTTTAGCAATAGGTCTGTATTTGTTGATGCTGGCTGGTCTTTGTTTTTGTTTTTTTTTAAGATTTTATTTATTTGAGAGAGGGGGCACAAGCAGGGGTAGCTGCAGGCAGAGGCAGAGGGAGAAGCAGGCGCCCTGCTGAGCAAGGAGCCCGATGGGGGCTCGACCCCAGGACCCTGAGATCATGACCTGAGCCGAAGGCAGACGCTTAATCCACTGAGCCACCCAGGCGCCCCAGATGCTATTTGGTTTTGTTAAGCCACCTGTGTAGGCCAGATATTGATAGTTGTTATTGGTGTTCTCATGATATCTTCGTAATTACCTCTTTTCCTTTCTGTATTCTGAATTGCTTGAGAAATAGATTCAGAGATTAGATGGACTTCCAAACATAAACTTTCTTTATGGTGAAAGCTGGACTAGAGATATTCTTTAATATTTTTTTTTTTAAAGATTTATTTATTTGAGAGAGTGAGAATGAGAGAGAGAGAGAACATGAGAGGGGGGAGGGTGACAGGGAGAAGCAGGCTCGATGCGGGACTCTATCCCGGGAGTCCGGGATCATGACCTGAGCCGAAGGCAGTCGCTTAACCAACTGAGCCACCCAGGCGCCCTGGACTAGAGATATTCTTGAGATATGCTTTGTAATCTGCTTGTGGAGTGAGTGGATCTGCAGAGCAGACCTTCATCCACCAGCCACATGGAAGCCCTCAGAGCCTGGCATTTATCAATCAGAGAAGATATTGGTGACTAGTCAGTCGTTTGTAAATTACACATCTCAACATCTTGGCTCTTCATATCTGTCTCTCCAGGGCCTTTCTGTCAGTGGCTGTGTAGTCCTCAGCAAGATTTCTGAATCCTAGAATGAAGATTTTACAGGAGAGTTGTAGTACTGTTCTAAACATGAAATAGAGGGTGGCTTACTGGGTTGACTTTTTATCCAGTTGAAAATTCCTGAGACTCTTTCTGACAAGTTGGATTTTGTTATAGCTAGATTATTTGTACATATGAAAGACTCATGCATTTACTAGTTCATGAGCTAATCAGTGAAGTCAGACTGTTAGTGTCCTTTCTGTTACCACAGATTCAGTTTGTTTGTTTCTACATTTTACAGGTTGAATATAAGCTGGGATTCCAAGTAGACAATTTTGTGGCTATGGACATGCCCCAGGTCAACATTTCTGCTCAGGGGGAAGTTCCACGCACTTTATCAGGTGAGCCTGAAAGAGTTAACATACTGTTTTCAATTGTGTCCCCCATATCCCAAGAAGAACAGTTTAATAATTGATGTGTAGTGTATCTTACTTGATAGGCTTAAGATGTATAAGTACTTTGAAAAGTAATTTTTGAAAATCCTGATTATTTGCACTGTATTTTAAACCATTCCTTTTCCATCCCTTCCAGAACTGTCTGTGCTCACTTCTTCCTTGTCTCCTTTTCTGCATTGCTGGCCTTGGCTTCCTCCTGTGTCTGGTCTTGTTCCTCTTGGACTAAATTCCCACACCATGGCGTGGATCATCACTGAACACTCATATCTGACCAAATGACATCAGGCCCATCCGGGCCCACTACCCCCCATCAACTGAGTACATTGCAGACTCTCCCGCCAGTATGCTGTTGTGTATCCTCTGCCCCTACCTGCCTGTCTGGCCCTGTTGCTGCGTTTTGCCCCAGCATTCCAGTGGCACTGTACTACGTGCAGTTTTGACGTCCTTGCCTTTGCATGTGCCGGTCTGTGTATTTGGAACCCCCTTCTCCTCTTTTCTGCTTATTAAACTCTCATTCATACTAAATATTCTTCAAGACTCAAAATCTCCACTGTCCTTTTTCTGCTTCCTTTCTCCCCCCAGGTCTTAACTCTTTCTTCTGTTCTTCATACTCTGTAGGATCTTGTAATTTGACTGTTTTTGAACTGATCACATTATCTTGTAATTCTTTGTGCTTGTCTCTCCTTGCTGGCCTGTGGCTACCCTGAGGGCAGGAGCTGTCTTTTTCAGCCATCTGCCCTTGGTGCCTAGCACTGCATCTGCACAGGACAGTCATGTGATACATGTCTGACTAAATGATTTAAGTGTCATATATACCCCAATTTAACTACTGTTGAGCCAGCCTTTTGAGAAGGGCTCCTGAAGATGTGAGATTTTAAGAAAAGCAAAGCGAACTTCTTAAAACTTCAAAGTGTAAGCCGTGTACTTTCCACAATATAGCAGTACCATGGAACTCTTTCTGGCAGTCTCATCTGTTGTTATTAGTGACATACATTAAGCTTTAAGAAGGCATAGGGAGGCTTGCTCATTTTTATGGGGCAGTAAAGAAATTCAGAAATGCCCATATTTTTTATACGCTCATACAGATGATAGAATGATACTCTAAATTTGTAGAAAAAGAATCTTAAACTGAAAGATTGAAAAAAAAAATGATTTGCACCAAAGTCTGTTATCTCGTTGCTACAGTAATTGATTAAAGCCAGTTTCTAAAGGGTTTTTTTTTTTATTTCAGTTGATTAATTTATCAGGTTTATCAGTTTACAGGTTTATATTTAATCTCTTCATTAAAAGAAATACATAATTGCATTTTGGTGGTAAATTGTCTTTCCTTTTTATCAAGTAATTGCTGTTTTGTTGCTGATGTGACTGGTAAGGTAGCAGGGTTTGCCTTATTCTATAGCTTTACTGTATTATAATAAGAGGACTTGTGAGACAAAGTGATCTATTAAAAATCATGAGCAAAAGTTGAAAATAATGATCTCTTCCTTTATGTCTTAGCTTGCTCTTTAATGCTAACTTTTATATCTATAATGAATGAAGAAATACTTAATGTCTAAAGCTATGTAGTCTGAAGGTAAGTTCTATGAAAATTTCTGTTTAGTATTATGTAAATGTATTATTTTTAGTTTTATGCAACAAAAATGAAGAATTCTAAAATAGTAGGTATTAATGTTGATTTTTAGAAAAGTAAAATATCTTTTCTTTTTTGCTCTTTAAACAGTGTTTCGGGTCGAGCTTTCCTGTACTGGCAAAGTAGATTCTGAGGTTATGATACTAATGCAGCTCAACTTGACAGTAAATTCTTCAAAAAACTTTACAGTCTTAAACTTTAAACGAAGGAAAATGTGCTACAAAAGTAAGGAATTTATTTACCAGAGTGTGTGTTTTATATAGATGTGATAAGGTCATAAATACATTTTGTCATCTTTCTACAGATTTGTGACCAAATCTTGATAGTTGCAAGTGCGAAAAGAAAGAGCACTAACAGATGAAATTCTGAGATAATCGCCAGGTAGCTTGTTGCCAGGAATCTCCCTTGGGCCCTGCGTTCTCAAAATCTTTTCTCAGAATTGCTAATTTTCCACTAGGGAGGTGAAATAGTACTCAAGTGGCTGGTCACCTCACTGTGATAGGGGCCCCTGAGTAACTGAGTGTTCACTGTGTTTTCCTCATAGAGGTGCTAATGCGCAGAAGCATTGCCTGGGGCCAGACGGACTGGGCCTGAGATGGGGACAAGTCACTTACCCTAAGTCTTAGTTTTTTCACTTGTAAACTGGGCATAATAACCTATTTCAGAAGTTGTTCTTTTTTTTCTCTTAGATTAATTGAATCAAACCTAAATCTTAGAATACCATGTTTTATGCAAAACTTAATAGATGTTAAGTGGGTACTTAATAGATGTTAGTAGCTTTGGTTTTGAATAATCGGTTACTCAAGAAATTACAGTGGCTATGAGAATTCCTAGCACGTAGGCTGTAGATGAAAGAATTTTATTTATTTTTATTTATTTATTATTATTTTTCAAAGATTTTATTTATTTGACAGAGAGAGACACAGTGAGAGAAGGAACACAAGCAGGGGGTGTGGGAGAGGGAGAAGCAGGCTTCCCACCGAGCAGGGAGCCCGGTGTGGGGCTCGATCCCAGGACCCTGGGATCATGACCTGAGCCGAAGGCAGGCGCCTAACGACTGAGCCACCCAGGCGCCCCTGTAGATGAAAGAATTTTAGAGTTTCTCCTTAAAGGTTATCTAGTCCAACCCGCTCACTTTAACTTGCACTAAGGTAAAGTAACCTAACTTTGCATGGCCACTTAGGTTACTATCTAAGATAGGGAAAATAAAACCCTCTAAACTTATTGAGTGCCTGCTGTTGACAGCTGGTTTACTTCCCTTGAACCCAGTTCTCTCTAGGCAGTGGGTCTCTCATTACCTCCATTTTCTCAGGAGGAAGCTGAGGCTCAGGGCATCTGACTAACTTGCCAAGGTCAGACAGCTAAGTGGTACAGCTGGACGCAAACTCGTGCTCTTAGCTCCATTGTTAAACTCTCTCTCTCTCTCTCAAACATTTCCTACTTGAAATTAGTGCTGAGTGTTATGAAAGTACCTAAGGTCAGCAAGTGAATTAGAACGGCTGCTGTCCAGATACATGCCAATAAAAAAGCTCTACTGCATTGGAATGGACATTTTTTAAATGGAAAGTTAGCAAGCACCTTTTAGCTTCAGTGTTTTGATACATTTTTCAGTTCTAATATACTCAGTTATGTACCTACTTTCATGTAATTTTCAAGCCAAAGTGGACTTTAGAGTCTCTCTCGTTCATTCTAGTCATTATATAATTGATATGAGGAGACTGGGCCCTAGAGAGACCACCTAAGCTTGCACAGTCAGTGAGGAGTATAGAAGGCCTGGTTCCTGATCCTTAGGGGAGGGGATGTGACTGTACCATGGTTCTTCGCCTAATGTCTAAAGGCAGGATGATGGCCAAATGTGATGTGATCAATGGAGTCCACCACTTGGTAGCCACTGAGGTTAAGGATCAGCCGACATTCAGAATGATCCCATACTTTCTCCATTTTCTTTAATATGTATGTGAAAATTAACATTAAAATACAGTTGGTGTAATTTTCTACTCTGTTTTAGACTTAAGTTTAATATAGTGCTCCCCTTTTCATTTGGTCGTTATACTTCTGGCCACCCCAATCGTCCAGTTCATGGCTCTTTAATATGTGATCCTAATGTGTTTGTCTGGTTTTCTACCCTACTACATTTAAAAAATTGCAACAGAAAATGTATCTGTACTATATCGAATGTTAATGGGTGTTACTGGCAAGAAAATGTTCCTTTTTTATGTGAGAGTGGGGACTGCTTGATCAGGTAAATTTCATTACTTAAGAACTCCTTAGAGCCTTTATACTCTGCTAATGTGAATTATGTACCTCCACGGAGGTTAAAATATGTGTCCCCCCCAAACTTCTTGACCACAGAAACCCTTTTAATTGAGCATCTATAAGCAACACCCATAGATTAGGGATTGGTGACTATAGTGATGATTATCAGAATCGTAATGTAGCATTTATTGTCTTGCAACAAATACTTCATTAGTTCAGGCAGTGTTCTAAAAGAACACAAAACTATGTTAGAGAAAAGCTCAGAAAATGTAGAGTATTTAAAGATTTTCATGGAAAAGGAAGAATTTCTAAAGCATTTTTTATCTTTTTTTAAATTCAGAACTTGAAGAAGTAAAAACTTCAGCCTTGGACAAAAACACTAGCAGAACTATTTGTAAGTGTTACTGAGTTACTGTTCTCCATCACGAGGGAAGAAAAATGGCTGATTGCAAATGCATGTGATTGTATAAGGCTCAGAGGCCTTGTAGTGTCCAATTTGTCAAGAGATATGTGAGGCCTTGCTATTTACCTCACTGATGTTTTGTAGATTGGTATATAGTCAGGGGAAATGATTAGAATATTGACATTTTTGTGAAGCAAAATTCATACATATTTTATAGCAAATGATCTATAAGCAAGAATTTATATGACATCATTTCAAATGGTTATAAAGTATGAACATAAGACCTGTATAAGATCCTCATCTCAATAGCAGAAGGTTAGAAAATCTGACTAGTGACCTGGATGGGTTAACCCTCAGCTAATTTCATCCAGGTGAAAATGCAAGCTTAAAGGATACTTAAAGATACGTATTTAAACCTACAGAACAGAAACTCCAAGTAGATCTTTATTTTTTGTTAATGGTTGTGTCTAGATGGTATAACTTAGACTTCTTTTTTCCTTTTCTGATGTGGACACATATTGAGTCTTACACTTCCTGAGATAGTTTTAATAGCACTATCTTAAGAAGATGAAAAAATTTGTGGTGGGGAGGAATTTCAGATATGCAAAAGTTGAGAGAATGCTCTGATGAACCTGCACGTGACCATTACCCTACTTCAGTAATGATCAACGTTTTGCCAGTGTTGTTCCATTGATTTCCTCCTCCTTTTCTGGATGGGTAAGTGGTTGGGGAGGAGTAGAATATTTTAAAGCACAGTTCAGGCATCATATCATTTCATCCATAAATATTCCAGTATGGATTTCTTTAAAAAAAAGGGCAATTAAGGGACACCTGGGTAGCTCAGTTGGTTAAGCATCTGCCTTCGGCTCAGGTCATGATCTCAGCCTGCATTGGGCTGCTTGCTCAGCAGGGAGCCTGCTTCTCCCTCTGCCCCTCCCCCTGCTTGTGCTCCCTCTCTCTCAAATAAACAAATAAAATCTTTGTTTTTAAAGGTAATTTAAAAAATAACCCACAATCACCCAACACCTATTCACTTGTATTTGATTTATTACATTTAACAAAATTAACAATAATTCCTTAATAAATTCTAATAGACAATTCCCTTATTGTCTCAAAAATATCTTTTTATAGTTTTGCCTCCACATCAGGATCCAAATGAAGTCCACACACTCTATTTTGTTGACAGATGTTTTATATTACTCAGAAATCACTCACCCCCCCCTTATATCACTTTTTTGTTGATGAAATTGAGTATTTATCCCATCGAATTTCTCCTATCTTCATTTTTGTGGTGTTAACATACTTTTTTTTCTCCTGTAAACTGGTAATTAGATTTTGTACATGATTAGATTTAGGACCAACTCTTGGCAAGAATAGTTCATAGATGGTAGTATGTGCTTCCTATTTTATCTTTTTCTCACCTCAGGAGGCAAAGAGTATCTAGCTATCCCAAAGTAGATTTTTTTTTTTTTAGAGATTTTATTTTGTTTATTTTAGAGAGCAAGCGGGGTGGGGAGGGCAGAGGGAGAGAGAGTCTTAAGCAGACTCTGCATTCAGCACAGAGCCCGATGCCAGGCTCGATCTCATGACCCTGAGATCATGACCCGAGCCGAAACCAAGTCAGACACTTTACCGACTAAGCCACAGACAGGTGCCCCCCAAAGTAGACCTTTTTTTGAAGGTAAAGTAATATAATACATTGTCTGCTTTTTTAGAATATTTCATTTGGATTTATCTCTAAGAAGAAAGAAAAACTATCTTAAAAAATATCACTGCTCCCCAAATTTACTTTGAAAATTCTGGTGACTTTACCCATTTCTTTTATGCTAGTAGGATGTTCTTTCACACAGAGAAACTAGAATATTGCATATTCCTGGTCTCTGGCTGTCTTTTCTTCAATACCTCTCTTCTTCCCTCCCTTTCTATCCATGCATTCAGCATCTATTGAAAGTCTGTGATGTGCCAGGTGGTATCATTAAAGCAGAGGATTAAACTGAGCAAAACAGACCCTGCCCTTAAGGGTTTATACTGTAGTGGATGAGATGGACAAGGCACTAATGCAATGATAGTAACATAGTGTGGCAAGCTCTATCAGGCAAGTGCAAGGTGCTTTGGGAACCCTACGGAGGGGCATATAATCTCTGAAGGAGTGAGGGAAAGCTTCCTGAGGAAGAGTGGCATCTCATGTGAGACTTGAAGGGTGACCAGGTGGTGGCAGGTGAAATGTCAAAGTGAAGGAATGGGAACTGCATACACAAGCCTGGAATTTGGAGGTAAATAAGCAGGATACATTCGGGGGGATTTGCCCAACAGAGTAGTGTCCTCTTCTCTATCCTGGTGTGTGCTTGGATAGGTACTGCAAGCACCACCAGCCTTTAGGACCTCCTTTTTCTGCCCCTTCCAAGATTGAACAGCCTGTGGCATCCTTGAAGAAAGTCAGGACTTCATTCAGGCTGTGTAAAGTCTAGCTGCCCTAGAAGCTATTTGGTCTCTTTGCTCTAATCTGTTCTGACTTATTGTTTCTTGATTCAGTTTAAATTTTAGAAAGCAGTCTTAGAAGTTTTTGAAAGCTATAGCTTTTATCTTTTGCCCTTACCTATCCCCAGAACTCCACATTTGTATTTCTGTCAACTTGACATCTCCATGTAGATGTATACTGGGTACTCTTAGATACAACAAAACTCTTGATTCTCTTCCCCCAACCTGCCTTTTCCCCCCCAATCTTTGTAAAGGTACCATTATCCACCTAATTCTTTAAGCCAAAGTTTTGATTCTTCTTTTTCTTTTTATCGCAGTATCATTCATTAGCAAGGTCTGTTGACTGTGCTTCCTGTCCATTAATTTATCTTCAGTAGTATTCTTGCCCACACCACTGCTGTCTCTTTTTTGGATTACTGTAGTAACTTTCTGACTTGTACCCTGCCCCTGTCTTGCACATTCCTCAAAGCATTCTTTACACAGCGTGCAGTCAGCTTGGTTTTTTTCCAAGTTTCATCGTGTGTATCATTCCTTTGCTTAATAACGATTTCCTATCTTATGTAGGATAAAACCCAGATTCCTCGTTTTATTCAGTAGAATTATGATGTGAGTACTCATCATCAAAACTTACTTGATGCGTTAGTTATACCAGTTCTGTTTCTATTTGTCTTCCCTGTGCTTGCTCAGATTACATGCATCTCTGTCTCTGTGCATCTCTTCCTCAGTTTGTGTGTGTGTTCGTGTGTGTGTGTGTGTGTGTGTGTGTGTCTTTGAGTTATTTCCCCCATTGCCAAGGTTTGCTTTCTCTTTCCCTCTCTGTTTTGAATAATAGAAAGTTGAACACGATTTCATGAGTGGGGTCTTGTTACCCTGCCCTTATCTTTAAAAATAAATAAGCAAAATAATCTGTTACTCTCATAAGAGAAAAAGCCTAAAAGTTTATTGTTTTTTTTTTAAATGTGTGGGTCAGTCTTGTTTTATATTCCTTCTGTGAGTCAGTGGTTGGCAAAAAGATGTCTGATCTTTCCACTTAGGTGTCACTGTTGAAATATGAAGGATATATAGATCTGTGCTGTCCATATGGTAACTACTAGTCACATCTGACTATTTAAAGTAATTAAAATGAAATAAAATGAAAACTTCAGTTCCTCAGTAGTACTGGCTACATTTCAAGGGCTTCATAGCCACAGGTGACCAGTGGCTACTGTATTGGACAGCACACTAGAACATTTCCATCACTGCAGAGAGTTCTCTTGGATAGCACTGCCATACATACATGTAAAACTTGTGACTTTTGTACTCATTAATGAAAAATTTTGTTTAAAACCCTTTTTTAAAAGTTCCTCCAACAACATTAAAAAAATTTAAAAAATTGTGAGAACTTATATCAACATACCACTGGTAACTGATCTTATCAAAGAGTGGGCACATGAAATGAAAATATGTTTTTACAAAGACCAGGATACTCATTGTTTATATTGGGTCATAGAGCAGTTGATGATATTTGTTTAAAAAGCTTAATGTGCTTTTCATTTTTATTTCAGATGATCCTGTACATGCAGCTCCAACCACTTCTACACGTGTGTTTTATATCAGCGTGGGGGTTTGCTGTGCAGTAATATTTCTTGTAGCAATAATATTAGCTGTTTTGCACCTTCATAGTATGAAAAGAATTGAACTGGATGACAGGTATTATATCTATATTGGGAAAGGAAAAAAATTAAAGTGGTTATTTGCATTTACATGGGAGCCCACACACACCCGTGCATTGCGGTTCACAGGGGAGGGAGGGAGGATGATCAGGTCTTGCCAAAAGAAAAATTACTGTCTCTGTGATTACTGTCATCGTGTTTTTCTGAGTCTTTTTAAAACATTTTTTTGAAGACAGAAATTATAGTTTATTAGTTTGGTGGGTAAGAAGTGAGAATCACATTTTTGTTCCCATCCCCTTTAACGTGACTCAATTCCAGACTCCAGTACCTTTTTAAAATAGCCCTGTTTCTTCCTCCCAGTTCATCCCTCCATCATTATCCATCCATCCATCCATCTATCCATCCATCCTTCCGTCCAGTAAACATTTATTGAGAACCTGCTGTGATTTAAACCATTGGTTCTCAACCTGGTTGCACATTATAGTCATGAGTAAGCTTTCAAAACATGGGTCCCACCTTCCAGAGATTCTGATGTAATTGGTCTGGGGTGGTGTTGGGGCATCACTATTTTTCTTAAAGCTTCCTGGATAGTTCTAATGTGTAGCCTTGGAGATATGCTAGGTGCTGGGAATATAAAAAAATTGATATACCTTATAGCTTCAAATATTCATCTTTGACATTAACCTATAATTATAAAAGTTTATAAATTTGATGATTATGATTTGTGTAGTATAGAGTGAGAATAGAGAAGGTGCTTGTCACAGCCTGGGTGGGTCAGAGATGACAGGGAGGACTTTATAGCCAGGATAGGGTTAGAGGTAAAGATGGAATGACAGGTTTATTTTCCCAGTACATAATTAATCATTTTCCTCCTCAGTGATTCCCACTTGGTGATTGAAAGATTTCCAGCTTCTTGACTTGGCTTTCAAAGCCCTCCTTTAGTGGAGAGCTATCTCCCATACTCGATGAACCTTTCTTTCTTTCTTACTGTACCCCTACTTATGCTGCAGTCTCATGATTATATGTTCCACACTTTGGCCTTATATATATAGGGCCTTTACCTGTACTTTAGGACTTTAGTTCATGTGTTCCTTTTGCCCACAGGGGTCCCTGCATTTTCCACCAGTCCAAACCTGTTCCTTCTTCAGCTTTCAACTCCCCATTGCCATTTCTTTCATGAAGTCTTTCCTAAGCCTCCCAACTGCCCTCTGTTTCTCTCTCTCTCCTACCCTCGGCCTCCCTTTCTCCCTCTTTCCCTCTCCGTCTCTCTTTGGTAGCAGTTATTGTACTTTTTTCTCCTGTAATAATTTTTTGTGTACTTGTCTCTCCCCTTAGGCTGTAGGCTTTGTCCGATTAGGGAGCAGTATGTCTTACTCATTGCTGAATCCCCATGCCTACACAGTGTCATACACACAGTGGATAGGCGTATTTGTGGCATGAACAAAAACACAAGGGTATAGGGAACTGGTTGGATTTAGTACCTATTAAGTACTCTCTGTCCCTCTGTTTTACTTTATCTGAGTAGAGGAGAAAGAGGAAGGTGGTAAGAATGAGAAGAGAAATACATGGGTGACGTGTTTCAGGATAGGTTTCATGTATATGGTGGTGTTGAAGTTAATATTGGGGTTTACAGAGGAAGAAATGGCATTTGGAAGCTTCTGAGTGGGAAATAAGGTAACAACATTTAGATAAAGAAGTCACTGAGGAGCATGACATGTAGGAGTCTTGATACATTCTTCTTGAATGCTTACATGTGTGCTAGGGCTTTGAACGCACATTGGACAGAGTTGTGCAAAAACTGTCAAGATACTATGGGGCATGTACCTCAGCCTGCTAAAATAATCAGTTACCACTCATGCATTGGGTATTTCAGTTCTTTCCATTTTCAGGCATAGGTTCCCAGACATTGAATAAAAGCAACTTACATTATTGCTTGTTTTCAGAGTATAACCTAGTGGTTAAGACCATGGACTCTGGAGCCAAAGCATCTCTGAATTCTGGTTGTTCTACTTACTAGCTTTATGGCTAGTAATGTACTCAACATCTTTGTAGTCTTTTCAAGAATTCTGAGGTGGTACAAGAGTGCCACCTACTGTTCAGTTGCTGGAGAGAAACAACCTGTAAATAATCTTGAGTCTGGCCATTTAACCATCAGGGTATGTTGGTTGCAGGTATTATTTAAGTAGTAGTTTCACATATATTATATAACTGGAGCCTCTCAAAAATCCTGGGAGATAGGTTTTCTTAATCTCATTTAATGGGTAAGTAAATTGAGGTCCTTTATTTTCCCCTCTTTGGGGATGGTAATGTTTCTCTTCCCTCTTCTAGACTTCTAACAACATTGATTTTTAGTCTGATCTTTGAGTAGTACTTAAAACTCCAAAAACAGGTGCTCTGTGGTTACCCACTGAAAAGACAGAAATACATGCTTAAGAGGTATTAATTTGTAGTAATCTTGAGTACAGGGTTAGCAGTTACTTGAGCCTACCATCTCTGGATCTCCCGTATTATTTAAAGAATGTGATATAATGGAATGCTTCAAGTACTAGAGAATTCTGAAAAGTTCCATAAATTCTAAAAAGGTGGGATTGAGGAAGAAGGAAAATGTATGTGATTCAGTAAACTTGAACCGGATATGATACTCCTTCCCAAGCCTTGAGCATGTTGGTATATTTGATTTACTTTGATATTCCTTATTTGATACAGGCCATTTGATTTGGGACCATTAGTGAAAGAGGTCTGTCATTCTACTCCTTTTTAAAAAAGCAATTTAATTGAATGGCATGGGCTCTCTTCCTAAGAGAAGACCCATAGGTCCCTAACATGTCTTTGTGTGAGGTTCAGGCTTGCTATCTATGGTGTCTGAGGACTAATACCTGCATTTCTGAATGACTGACAAGGTGAACCTGCTTGAGATGGTGGAGATAGAAAAGAAAAATAGCTCTTCATTATGAAATGAAAATTTCAACATGGAATGTTTGATGGACTTTCATGCATTATTGTGATGGTCATCAGGATTTTAAGCTGGTTACAGTGGCTGCAGGCATTTTTATATGTATAGAAAAAGGAAATTTCTCATTGAAGCTGACTTACCAGTTATTTCTCTCAAAAATTGTTTGCAGCATCAGTGCCAGCAGTAGCTCCCAAGGGCTGTCTCAGCCATCTACCCAGACGACTCAATATCTGAGAGCCGACACACCCAACAATGCAACTCCTATCACCAGTAAGAGTTAATTTAATTCCAAAGATGATTTCCTGACGTTGTCTGTGGTCTGCCTGCCAGTGGCACCAGTGTGCTTAGTTATTTGTGGGGCATGTGTACCATTCTGTGTACATAGCATCTAACGTGCATAGAATTAGGCTTGATCCCCAACTTCTGCTTTCTAGAGTGAAACATTCTAAAATTAGAGTAGTAAAAATAATTTAAAAAAATTTAAGTTTATGCTAGAATTAATTTTGGGGGAGATTTCTATAGAAAGTCAGGAGGAATATTTTCAGGTAGTTAGATAGACCAAGCCATTGAGCTGTATGAAAACAGAGTCTTAGATTTTAATGAATTGTTTGATAATCTTAAGGGCTGTGGACTTTACATTGTGTTTTTTTTTAAGATTTTATTTATTTGAAAGAGAGAGCTCTCGGTGGGGAGGGAGGGGCAGAGGGGGCAGGAGAGGGACAAACAGACTCTGCCTCTGCACTGAGCATGGAGCCAATCCCAGGACCCCGAGATCATGATCTGAGCTGAAACCAAAAGTCCAACGCTTAACCAGCTGAGCCAGCCAGGCACATTGTTTTTTAATCACGATAGGAAGCTAGCTGCCATTAGAATTGAGAACATGGAATCTGATTTCCTTTCTCTTTAAACAGGATTTTGATGAAAGTTTTTATACTGTAACATATTGTTGGGGAAAATAATCATTCTTAGAATATAATTTAGACGTAACGAGGAATCAGTCTCCACACAAATAAAAAACAGCATAATCATCAGGATAAACAGTAGACCAGAATCAGGGCTAAATTCAGTAGTGCTATTGATTAATTAGGTTCTTACAGGCCTGGTGTCTTTCTTTCTTTCTTTCTCTTAAAGATTTATTTATTTATTTGTTTATTTGACACAGAGAGAGAGGGATAGTGAGAGAGCAAGCACAAGCAGGGAGAGGGAGAGGGAGAAGCAGGCTCCCTGCTGAGCAGGGAGCCCGATCTGGGGCTCGATCCCAGGACCCTGGGATCATGACCTGAGCCAAAGGCAGCCGCTGAACCGACTGAGCCATCCAGGCGCCCCTGTTGTGATCTTTCAATACTGTTTCCCGTTAAAAAGAACTAGGATTCTTTAGGGAAGTGGATGATTTCAGGACTAAGTCAGGAATGAACAAGATAAACCTGGGACATGTTGAGATGGGACGTTTGAGCATCAAAAAGAGTGACTGCATTGACTTGAAACTGATTATGTAAAATCCATGAGTTTGTAATCGTTTTTGAAAAAGTTGATCATGATCATGAGAGGTAACTAAGGTACCAGTAATGCCTCATTCTGATGACTGGCTGTATGAACTGTATTTCATATTTCAGTGGTTTCAGAGTGACCAGGAAGTGTTGGTTGGTGAGGGAAAATGCTTCTTTACAGAAGACTCCTACCTAATAAATGTGGAAGGAGTGATAGAATTAGAAAATCATATTTGCAACCTCTGTTAAAATACTTGATTCAGGAAAAGATCATCAATGTTTAAAACCTTGTGAACAAAGGGAAATGGGATCATTTGAGGGATCAGACAGCCTCACTCCACTATTGAAACTTGCATCGCTAACAGTCGGACTAGATATTTTGTACTCCCACATGTGATATACCATCCATAGAGTATTTTTAATCTTCCTTCCCCACTCCAGGAGTTAGCCTGGACCTAATCACAGCTGTGGAACTGACTGGCAGTTTACAAGAAATACAGGGATAGAGGACAAGTTAAATGATACTGGAAGAAGCAGATGCTGGATATTCTCTAGGATAACTGAGCTGGTTTCTTTAATAAGAGTGGCAAGAAAAAGAAGAGGAGAAAGAGGGAATGCTCAAGATTAAGTAAAATTTAAAAGAAATCATGACAGTAGTTACCATCACTGCCAATGAAAGAAAGAATTATATGCCCTTTAGAAGATATGATGACAATTACAAAAGTAGTTCAGACTATCAGAAGAAACACGTCATTGCTTTTAATGTTTAGATGTCAAGCTTTGCTCAGTCAATTCTTGATTGTGACTATGACCTTGAAGAAGTAGAGATTCAATTATTATTATTATTATTTTTAAAGATTTTATTTATTTGAAAGAGAGAGACACAGCGAGAGAGGGAACACAAGCAGGGGGTAGTGAGAGAGGGAGAAGCAGGCTTCCCGCGGAGCAGGGAGCCCGATGTGGGGCTTGATCCCAGGACCCTGGGACCATGACCTGAGCTGAAGGCAGACGCTTAACAACTGAGCCACCCACGTGCCCCGAGATTCAATTATTATCTACTAAAAGGAAAATACTTTTTAAAAGTCAGTCAAAATTATTTATTAAAAATATTTTCAGTTACTATCTATAAGAAGTATTATTTTTACAGACATTAGCTTAAGGAGATAGATGGTTCATTTATTATGTATGGCAAAAACAAACACTTTTTAAAAATACAATGGAAATTCATTTGTGTATAAATAAAAAGAGACAAAAGAGAGGAGTAAAAAAATATTTGAAGACAGAATGGCCAAGAATTTTCCAAAATAACAAAACACAACAGACCACAGATCCGAGAAACTCCCAACAACTCCAGGTAGGATTAAACATATACAAATACAGACACACACCTGCGTATATCCTCTTCATACTGCTGATCAATGGCATCAGGTGTTGTCAGCTTAACCCGTTGGTCACAAAGCTCCCAAGCCTATCATCTAGATACTGTAGCAGCCATTGGTGATGGTCATCTAGGTCTGCTAACTCTTCAGGGAGTTTTCTTCACATATGTTTACTGAAGAGATATCTTAGAGATACCATTCCAGTTTTTACTTGCTGACGCTGAATCCTTCTTTGATTCTAACATTTTTTTCTTGGAATGAAAAGTTTAAGTTATGGCTAGATAATTTTGTTTTTGCTGCAATTGTAGTAAGAATAGGAAATATGGGAGCTGAAAAACAGACGTATTTCACAGTGATTTGACCAGGCTATATAAAATGAGATTGATTAAACTGATCAGATGTTTTGGTAGAAAAGATAGTTTTACAAACATCTGTTCATTTGAAAAGGTTTTTGTTAGGAGACTATATTAGAAAATCTTTGGGGAAAAGTCCATAAAAGGGATTAAATTAAACACTATGAGTCAAAGCTTATTTCATTTGGCTGAAAGGCAGTTGAAGTGGTGGTAATGGTAATATTCATTTTAGTGTTTATTGTTTTAATTACTCATTTTAAGATTTTGGGGTAGGTGAAAGTTTTTCTTTAAAATTTAGTGTGGTCTTTATAAGTAATTTTCCCTGTTCATGTGTGTGCCTTTTTCCTTTTATGATTCTTACATTTATTTATTCCTGTGAGTTGAGTCCTGAGGTTTTGACTGAATTAGTTGACCCTGATGGCATAATAAGGGTATTTATATTTCTTGGTCTGGCTTTGTTGGCTCCTCAGGTTATCCTACATTGCGGATAGAGAAGAACGACCTGAGAAGTGTCACTCTTTTGGAGGCCAAAGCTAAGGTGAAGGATATAGCAATATCCAGGGAGAGGATAACTTTAAAAGATGTACTCCAAGAAGGTATTTATTATCTCAAAACCAGTTTCTCAAGGAAGATTTAATGTTACCACTTTAAATTTTTTTTATTTCAGATTTTAAGAATTTCATCTCTTTGTGTCTAAGGATAGAAGTGCACAATTTATTTCCTTTATAAAACTGATTTTCATTTTCTCTTTCTTTAGATCTTTAATTTGCCTTAATACAACTTTGGCATAATTCTTGATTTTCAAGTATATTAAAGCATATATTATATATTAGCGTTTGTTACCTTTAAATACATTTTCGTTCTTGTTTTAAAGATGATATCACAACCTAGCAATTCTGTTTGCTGTGACAGATAGTATGGGGACTCTAGCAGACAGAGCAAGCATGGGCTTTGGAGTTACACCCAACTTCCAATCCCAGTCTCACAATTTTTTACCTGTGTGACCTTGGAGAAATCATTTAATGTCTTCCACGTCCAATTTCCTCTCCTATAAATTGAGACTATATTGTCTGTTGTTGAACCAGGTTGTGAAGATCAAATGAAATGATGTACATTAAGTGAACTAACACACAATAGATATTTTATAGATGTTATTACCCTTCCCTTCCCCACTTGTTGGTCCTTGTTTTCTTTCTTGAGTTTTAGGGTATTAATTGGGGAGATGGCTGACAGAAGAGTATAGAAATTAATAATAAAGTACTTCATTGAGCCGCTCAAGTTGTTAAAGAGAATTACCTTTCTCTTTCCACAATCCAGTTTGGAATGTTTTAAATATATATGAGTCATTCTGAATTCATCTCTTGGTTGAGATGGTTATAGGTCAATCACAGCTAAGAGAGAGGCTTGAACTGCCCCCAGTGACAAATAGTAATTAAAAGAAGCAAATTTTGGGGGTCTATTTTTGAATGCATGAGGGGGGTCCATTTTTCTCCTTTGTTATTCCGGAACTAAGCCTAGAAACTAACTCATAAATGCCTCTACTGATACCCAATTACTGAGTTCCAGTATTCCTGGCTATAACATTAGTTTATTTTGGATAATTCAGAAAGAATTCTCATATATTTAGTTTAAATATGGCATTTCTAAAAGCACGTTAAAATAGTTCTTATTTACAAAGAATTTCTTTTAAAAAATTTATTTATTTATTTATTTATTTATTAAGATTTTTTTTTTTTTTTTATTGGAGAGAGAAGGAGAAAGCATGAGCAGGGGGAAGGGGCAGAGGGAGAGAAACAAGCAGACTCCCTGCTGAGCAGGGAGCCCAATGCAGGGGATGATTAATGATCTCATTAATTATTATTTTTCCTTTAGGTACTTTTGGGCGTATTTTCCATGGGATTTTAGTAGATGAAAAAGATCCAAATAAAGAAAAACAAGCATTTGTAAAAACAGTTAAAGGTAGGATTTTTTTTCCATACTATTTCCAGAATGCTTTCCTAAGGTGGATCATGCCAGTGAAATTTCGTCTCAAATTCTCAGTCTGTGCCTGACTTTTAGTCAGTCCATGTTAATTTAGCTGATATGGGACTAACTTTGAGGAAATTTGGGTTGTTCTCATAAGGTATAGAAAATAGAGTTCTAATAATTTAGGATGTTAAAACACTACTTATTACCGAGGTTTGTAGTTAAACTACATCCATTTGACTTCATTGTTGCTGTATCTAATATTGTGTTTTTCCTAGGTAAAAATTTTGCTTTTTCCCTCTTAAAAACATTAGTTTTTCTTCCTTTCCTCCTTCCCACTCCCAGTACTGCAGTCTATAAAGAATAAAAAATGACCTCCAGACTAAAAGTACCTTATGTGAATAGCCTTGTTCACTTTCCTCCCACTCCCCCTGCCTTTTTTCTGCTATTATATATAATGCTGCAGAAAATATCCATGTGTGTATGTCTACTTTTTGGCTTAGTTTTATTGGTATAGCTGTAGTTGGCATTGCTGTCCCAAGAGATGTTTACATTTAAAATTTTGATAGATACTGTCTGATTGTTTTGCTAAAGGGTAGCACTACTTTATGTTATCATGAACAGAATACCTATATTCACATAATCGCCTTTTGGAGAAATTTGATGCTTAATTTTTCACCTTATAATTGATATTTATAAAAGTTTAAATCTTAGTTAAATCTGTTTGCTCATTCTAAGAGGAAGAAAAATGTGGTAATTTACAAGGTGCCTCATGTCTGACAGTGTCTGATATAGACTGAGATGACAGGATGTTAATTTTGAAAAAAACAAATTTAGCATTTTGATGTAGAAATAGAGGGGAAAATTAAATTCAGTTTTATATGTAGGAGGTGACAACTTTATGAAATTCTCAGTTAGTTTATAAGAACGTATGTTTTTAAATCTTAAATGAATTCATGTAAAGTATGAAGGGTTTATGTTTATTGTTTCTAAAAAGCTGTACTAACCTAACAAAAAAATGTGGAATTTGATTTCTTTTAATTTAGCAAAATTGCTTGCTTGAGGATTCTGCAAAAACATACACACACAGACACTAAACCACTAAACCACCACACAGACCACTAAACAAGTGTTTTAACTTACTATACTGTTCAGTATATATTTTATCTACCTACTTCTCCTAGCTCCAAAGCACTTTTAAAGGGTAATATTTAGGTTAGGTCCATTAGATTTCCTGACTAATTTTGAAGGATATTTTACATATTACTCTTTGTAAATGTAAAATTTGAACCCTAAGTTTAATAACTGTTGACTTTTGTCATATTTCCCCCATTTTTAAGGAAATATTTCTCTAATTTTAATATTTCTTCTGGGGTTTATACATAATCTGTGGGCAGTTTACAACTGGGCTGTTACTAATTTGTTCTGAATGAATCTTGAATTAGCAGAAGAGCTTTCTAATCAGAATTGGATTGAGTGAGGGTTGGAAGGGGGGAAAAAAGGAAATAATAGTGATAAGAAAATACAATGCGGATACTGGGACTGTTTCACAAGATAAGATTTCTCTTTCCGATACACTTGAAACTGTAGTCACTTGGTTGTTTCTACGCCTTACCACTGTAATTATAATGTTCCTTCTGAGCTAGCGGGAAATAAGAGAAAGCACAGTGAGTCCTTAGCCAAGATGTGGTCATGGTTTGCATGAGAAACAAAGAGGAAGTGCATTGACCACAGTCCTTGCCTCAAAATTATTAGATAACTCCACATGATTGGGTATCTCTGAGATTTACTCTTTTGGAATGTTGTTATTATATTTTTTAAGAATTTGGGTTTTATTTTTATTTTTTTTAAAGATTCTATTTATTTGAGAGAGAGAGAATGAGAGACAGAGAGCACAAGAGGGAAGAGGGTCAGAGGGAGAAGCAGAATCCCCGCTGAGCAGGGAGCCCGATATGGGACTCGATCCCGAGACTCCAGGATCATGACCTGAGCCGAAGGCAGTCGCTCAACCAACTGAGCCACCCAGGCGCCCTGGAATGTTATTATTTTTTTAATTGAAGCTGTGTAGAGCTGATCAAGTTCTTTCACAAATCTGTATGCTTTGTTACATGCCACACAATTAGAAGTGCAGCTTAAAATGCAAGAAGAAAGTTTTCAAAAGATTATTGCCCTTTGCCTTTAGGCATAAGCAAGAAATTGCAGTTTGACTTCTTAAAAAATTCATAAATTTGCACAGAGGCTTAATGGACAGTCTAATATAAATTTACAGAGATTAAAATTAGGAATCTGAATTTCACACAGTGAATATTGTGAAATTGAATTCCATAGAATTAATTAATTTGAGGTTATTGGCCTTAGGGTCTTATTTTATAGCTGCTAATATTTTGCAGTTTTGAAATAAGTTTTTTTATTGTTTTGTTTTTTCTTGTAATATTTTAGAATGTAAGTATTTGAGTATTTTTTTTTCAAATGTATACATCTTAAAATAGACTTTTCAGTATTTAAAATTAAAAGACTTGGACTAGACTGGGAAAGGAATCCAGGAAAATGATTTTTTCTTACTAAATGGATAAAATTATTTTTTCCCAAACTCAGAGTGTTCTTAGATCATCATCCAGTTCAAGTGTCCCTTGCTTAATAGAGTATGCTTATTAAAATTAAGAATTTGAAAAAATTATGCATAAAATGACATGCCCTGAAAATTTAACTTTTACTTGGTTCTTAATACCCTTGACAGGAAAGTAAACAATTACTAACTGGGTGCAGACCTCCAGCTATTACTATTGCAATCTGAAAAAGACCCTACTGGTCCCCAAATCATCTGGCCATAATTTATTTTTTTATTTTTAAGATTTTATTTATTTATTTGATACAGAGAGACACAGTGAGAGAGGGAACACAAGCAGGGGGAGTGGGAGAGGGAGAAGCATGCTTTCTGCTGAGCGGGGAGCCCAATGCAGGGTTCGATCCCAGGACCCTGAGATCATGACCTGAGCCAAAGGCAGATGCTTAACAACTGAGCTACCCAGGTGCCCCATGGCCATAATTTAATTAAAATTTATTTAGACTACAGAAAGAGAAATAAAGGCACATTCTGCCATTCCTAGATGATCCTAAATTTTGAGCAGTTTTTAGACAACTAGAGTTTATTCTAGCAGACATTGGTGTAAAGCACCTTTTCCAAAGAAGTACCAAGTGTTTCAAGTTCTTGGCTTTTGGTCCACGCATCTTACATTCCTACAAAGGTTTTAAACTAAATGAAGCTGTCTGGAAAAGTGGACACAACTAGCCAAGTGTGGAAGAGAGAGTGATTCTGGTTAGTTTTAGAAGAAACTGAAATTTGTGATTTCTTAGCTTCGATAGCTCTACTTTTAAGGAGGAAATGTGACAGACTCATAGTGCCTGACTTCAGTGTTCTGGATTTTACTCTTGGTTCAGTATTTTACTAGGTAGAGCTGGGATGTGGATCTTAGCTCTGCCACTCTTTCTCTCTTTTTCTCTCTCGTTGCATTGATCAGAAGCTTTATAAATTATTACTACTATTTTTACTGTTGATATACAAATTAGTCTTTTTCTTCATATAGATCAAGCTTCTGAAATTCAGGTGACAATGATGCTCACTGAAAGTTGTAAGCTACGAGGTCTTCATCACAGGTGAGAGAAGAAACCACCCAGCGCTTAAGTGTTAATAAGCATGGTAACATTGTATGCTACATTTTTATTTTAATAATGTTGTGATATGTTCTGAGTTGAAAGCTTTTTGGAATAGCTTTTTTTTTTTTTAGAATATTAAAGTGAAATGCATGCCTAGTGCACAAAATTTAAAAATGCAGTGAAGTATAAAGAAGAAAATAAAGCAGAGTATGTAAGTCCACATCTGGATAAACATAGCTAAGCTTTCAAGAGAGTTTTTACAAATTTGTATGCGTATTTTCCTTTGAAAAATAGGATAGTGATATATACTAAAAAATACCTGCTATGAAATTTTTTTAACAAAGAATACCAAAGACAAGCATAATTAACACCAGTAATCGCATCTCCTAAATTCAGCGATAGTGAACCTTTTGCCTTTTTTGTGTGGTGTTTGTGTATATGTCTATTATCTATCCAGATGATACATAGATACTTACGAGTGTAGAAATATTTTAAAGTAAAATGGATATCTCAACACTTTCAACACTTTCAGTTCATTTCCAACATGCAATTCCACAGCCCCCATGACGATGTTTTCTTAAATAATCATAACACCATTATTATCTTTAATAAGGTTAATAGGCTTTTTGATATAACTAAACAATGTACCTAACTCTTCATAGAAGTAACTATGAATTCATGTCCACATTTAGAAAAGATATGTAGCAGCTGATTGAATGGGTGTACTATGTTTTATATTTAACTAGTGTCTTGTTAGGTCATAGTATAATTTAAAAAAAAATACTTGTAGTTCTATATAAAGAACTTTTTTTAAAAAAAGCTTGATTATAAGTCCTCTTCACAGAGCTATAACGAAAGCTTCTACCTTCTGAGACAAAAAGGGCTTAAATATAGTATTGCACTGGGCAGCAGTATCAGTAATGGGGCAAGGTCTTCATTTTTTTTTTTTTCTAAACAGCTTGTAAAGTCAGTTTTGTTTGTATGCCTATTGCAGATTTGGTTGCGTATATTTACAAAAATGGGACAGTGACCATCCCTGTTGGAAGATATTTATGGACTTCTGGGGGAAAAAAACACATGAAAAAGTGATGCATGCAAAAGGCGGCATGCATTTTAATTTCTGGGTACTTTGAGCAGTTACTTGGGTTCTGCCAAAAAAATAAGATGACTATGCAGAGTTCTATTTTTGAATGTCATTTATACTTTTGTTCATATTTGAAAGAATTTGAGAACCTAAAAAGAAGGCAGCAGTTGTAAAATCAATAAAATGGTAATGAAAATCAAACTGAGTTTTATGGCATTGTGATGGTGGAAGAGAAAACAAGCCAACAATGAAGATACAAATATTTTTGCTGTGATTGAACATAAAACATCTCTTAGCTTCTGGGCAGCCAGGCTTGAGGAACCATTAAAAGTTGATAAATCTCAGTATTAGAAGAGAAACAAACATAAATATTCCTTGGGGGAAGAAAAAAGGTTTTCTAGTTTCAGATTCTGAGGCAGCTGCCTCATCAAGCTTATCATCTACTTGGGGCATTGATTAATATAACTGAACAGATAAACTTTATAGTTTCACTGAGTATAAAAAATCCCAGGGACCTTTGAAAAAAATTGAACACACAGTAGTGAGGGACGGAAGATGTCCCATTGAAGGGTTAAAGTCAAGTGGTTGAAGAAAGTCATCTTCCATTGGCCTGATTCAGTCCAAGTGTAGAACTTACTTACAGAGGAATGGATGGCTAACTCATTCCTGAGACTGTATTTTCTAAAAAACACATTTTGTTTCCTCTGAGTAACAAGTAATGGTTATTTGGAAATGTACTTCTTGGCAAGTATTGGAAATGCTTGATGTTCTCTTATGCTGACACTAGGGGGAAGGGTCAAAAGTGTTTAATACTAGTATGTAATGTTAATCTAGTATTTCGGTACCTACCTGGTATTCTTACCCTGGTAGAAGGTCCGCGTCACTTCAGCACAGAAGTGGGAGACTGGATAAATCCAGACAAAGCCAGGATTTTCCTAAGAAGCAGTTTTATATCCACTGTAGCCCAAAGATTGGCTGAAAAAATGTTCAGGAACAAGTATTTGGAGCATTTTTCATGTGGCCTTTCAGCTGTAGGGTTTTCCAGCAAGCATCCTGTCAGGATGAATTAGCAGCCCCAAGACACCCTTAGGTGATGGAATTCCACATGCTAAATGGGGCTGATACTGGACATTCAGTGATTGGGGAAAGTCTAGAAGCAGATTGTGTAGCTTAGTCATAGTTAATTGTTCTTCCTGGCTATACAGTAATACCAGGACTCCTAGGTTTTTTGTTTTTAGTTTTTTTTAAGTAGGAGCCACACCCAGTGTGGAGCCCAATGCAGGGCTTGACCCTGAGATCAAGACATGAGCTGAAATCAACTGTTGGATGCTTAACTGACTGAGCCACTCAGGAGCCCAGGACTCCTAATTTTTAATGAGCAAAACATATTATCAATATGTAGAAAGTACATTATTGTTCTTTCCACTCATTGTTGCAGTTTGTTTCACTTTTAAAGGGACTAGGGCCTACCATGCTTTTCTTTTCGACCCCTGGTGTCATGGCTGTGTCTATGCATTTATTTGTTCACTCGCTTATTCTTTTTTTTAAGATTTTATTTATTTATTTGACAGCGAGCGAGAGCAGGAACACAAGCAGGGGGAGTGGGAGAGAGAGAAGCAGGCTTCCCGCCGAGCAGGGAGCCCGATGTGGGGCTCGACCCCAGGACCCTGCGATCATGACCTGAGCCAAAAGCAGACGCTTAACGACTAAGCCACCCAGGCGCCCCTCATTCGCTTATTCTAATTCATGAAGTACCCGTTTTGCACTTGCAACTCTCCTAGGCCTGAGGGATAAAAATGAACTTAACGAGCTTCAATGTTCATATTACAGAGCTTATCAAGCAAACGAAATACACTCAGTAAGAAATGATGCCTTGTTTCCGAATTTAACTTTTTAGAACTGGTTGTGGTGTATAATTCCACATGCAAAACATGTTTACTTCGTGTTTTAACATTCCACGAGTAAGAATTGTAAAGCGTTGACATATTTTGAAAGTCTTTTTATTCCTTTTTCCACTGGAATTTGTGAGAATAATTTTTACTGTAAGTTAAAATAGCTGTAGAAATAAAGTTTATTTTAATTATAGCTTACTTTAACGACATCAGAAGTGCTTCGTAACAGAGTGCTCTTGAGTTATTTCTACTTGTAGTTTGGCTCTCCACTGGCCCAAACTGCCTGATGGCGACCTTCTTAACCCTGAGTGCCTCCCAGCTCTCCCTCTGCAAGCACACTGGGCAAGACTGAGAACTAGATGCAGTTCTTGTCTCATGTCCCCACAAAACTTTCCCTTCCTCTGCCTTGTTCTTGTCTACAGCACGAGTTTCTGCTCTCATCCATTCTTCATCTAGGTCCCAGATCTCCCTCTTTATCCTCCTTTCCTTTATAAAATGGACAGAATGAAGACCAGCCATTTTGTACTTTAAGACATCTTCATGCAGCTTGTTACCTCTTCTGGAGGGCTTTTAATGATTTGATCTCAAAAAGCACTAAAATACCTTTAACCCTGCTCGGTGGATTTCAGACATGAGAGGAGCAGAGGAGTAATTTTGGGGAGGGGGGTTTGAGAGATCGAGTAACTCTCACATTACTTCTAAAATCATGGTGTGCTCAGTTAAACCTGAATGCAGACCTGCTGTAGTCATTTCAGTGTGCATGCGACTTGTGTGAAGAGAGGCTCTGTCACTTCCCTTGTATTCTTTCTTGCTCTCCTGGGAGGGCATATCCAGTGGTCCAGGGGAAAGCACAAGGGTTTCTGGAATCAGATGAAGCTTTGAGTTTTTTTCTCCATGCACTTGTTTGTCCTTGGCAGATTATCTAACCTCTCTCTGTATGGGTTTCCTCACAAAGTGGGACTAATCATCACTGGCACTGTTAGACTGTAATGCAAGCAGAAGCTGTACTTAGAGGGGTTACCTTGTGCAAGTTTACTCATCTCTGAGTCCTCATTTTCCGCTCCTTGGGGTTAGTGCTTTCCCTTTTAGTAACTCCTGTGCAGCGTGAAGGGAGCCCATAGCTTTTACTTGGGCACTGTTGGGCCAGAATTGGGTGTGGTTTAAAAGAGACACATGCTCAGTTGAGACAATTTAGAAAATCCAGAAAAGGCAAGATAGCAAGCAAGGTAGAAATGATCTAAAGCCCTGCAACTCAAAAGACAAAACTTTTAATTCTTGTCATATTTTTGTGCAGAGTTTTATTAGTTTTTCTCCATGTTTGGAATTATCCTGCAAACATATGTGAATTTTGTATCTTGCTTTCCTATAAGATAAACATTTACTCTTCTTAACATCTTTTTGTGACCATTTAATTGTTATATACTGTCCTATGATTTGGGTGTACTCTTGCCTTACATTTGCACATTGAAGTCGTTTGCAACTTTTTGCTATTAATATTGCATTAACTGTCCTTGTTCATGTAGCTTTTTAATGTTTAATATTATTTCCTTATTAAATATCCTTAGGCAAAATTTGCTAAGTTAAGGAATAGGACTGTTTTTAAGGCTATGTTACTTGTGTTGTCTTATTAAATGCTTATTTTCTGTAGCACAGAATATAGAGCATTGGGTGTAAAAATAAGAGTTCATGTTAGTTTTTGTGTTCTAGAAATTTTCAGCATAGTGGGGAAAATGAGGTAATTATGTATGAAGTTACATAACCTTGGAGAGAATTAAATTATTTCCAGATACCAGTGGGAAGAGGTGTCATTAGGCAAAAGGATGAAAGTATTTGTGTGCCATGGAAATTTAAAGAGAAACAAGAATGTTACTACATGCTTTGGCTTCATTCGTAAGAGCATTTTATGGTTGATGTGATGCCATGTTAGAGGTATGGAAACTAAGGCCAGGAGATATGGTATCTATAAATGGTAAATACAGGATTTAGAAATCAGATTCTAAGTCCCATGTGACCAGTTAAGGATATCTTGGCTGTTGTGGCAGTTGCAGCCTCTTTGAGGTCTTCTTGATGATCATATTCTGGTCCATAGTCTGCATGGGGTCTTTATTTTTCTTCTTTAATGTGTTGATGGACTTAAGGGTATGTTATAATACACTCATAATGCGTCAAGTCATTTTTAAACGTCTCTGATTACCCTTTAAGAGTAAAGATTTAGTGTGGCTAGAGTGTGTCTTCAGAGAATCCAGTCCACAGGAAACAACTTCGAGTTTACAGCTTTTCCCTACCAAGAAAGTGCATATGTGGAAAACACTGAAGTCTAGTTTCAAAGGGCATTTGTTAATTTTATTGCATTTTTAAAGGTAATCGTGTTTTTAAGTATGTTTGAGATTTTCTTGTTTTGTTTTAGGTTATCTTTATTACTTTTTATTAAAAATAAGCCTTTGAGGTTTTAGATTTCACTTGTCTTTTTCCTGATTTCTTATTATTTTGTAGAAACCTTCTTCCTATTACGCATGTGTGTATAGAAGAAGGAGAAAAACCCATGGTGATACTGCCTTACATGAATTGGGGGAACCTTAAATTGTTTTTACGGCAGTGCAAATTAGTAGAGGCCAATAATCCACAGGTGAGAAAAATTTGCCCAGATATCAGTTATTTACCAGGAACTTCTGATAGTATTTTTTGAAAGTAGATGTTAACCTTCTTATATATAAACTGTGTAAAAGCCTGCAAAAAGAAACTGAAAATGAGCCAGAAGATAATTATAACCTGTTGATTTAGAGGAAGATGGTTTGTGATTCCTGTCTTGAAAGTTGCACTTTACTGATGCTGAAGTTTTTCCTTTTTCTCCATTGTGTGTTTATTTATAATCACCTCAACTCTAACACCATCTCCATCATTTTCCTGATAACTCTTTGAAGGCACTGGTACTAGATCTCCGTTCTAGGAATGGAAACACACTTGACTGAGTCATTTGGTCCATATTGTACCAAAAGCTGGTGGTGACTGGAAGTCTGGATTATGGAGATAATTGGATCTATTTTTAATATGCTTGGCTATAAGATGTCAGTCATCTAAGAGTTTCCTTCTCTTCACTGCTTGTGCCCATAGCTATGAAGCATTTGGCTACGTTCCAGATGCATGATGGTAGTTGTCGTAAAGCCTAGCTGTTGTTTTGTTGCCTATTGTAACTTGTAGCCACATTAAGTTTGTTTTAGGGTTTATAATAATGTACGTACTACGGTTACCAGGAGAAAGTGGATTCAAAGGCTGCACTGAGTATTTGACTTAATATGTAAATTGACAGGGTTAAAGCCAGGGTTCCAACAAGTTGTTGCAGGCTGTAGCCCATCAGCATCACGTGAGGAAGAATTTCATTCCTCAGCCCACAAGACTGGCATCCTGGCTCTAAGAGGAGCACATCAGTAGTGAGAGCTGTAGACTTCTGTTAGCTAGAAAATGGTCCCCAGAGATCATCTAATAAAAACTATGAGTTCTAAAGAAGAGAACAGGTTATTGAGTAAAAAGCACTGGACATTTTACCTTGAGAGTCTGGCAGTCATGGGACAGATAATTATTGAGTAGCTACTATATGTGCTGGATGTTGGGGAGCTATACCTGACATATGAGAGAGGCGGTAAAGTAAATGGTAAGTTACATTACAGAATGGTAAAGCTGTAGTAGATATAAATATTAGGGAGCTATGGGAACATATTCTTGGCCAAGACGTAGCTTTTTAAAACTCCATATGTAGGTGTAAAGAAGTATTTTGGGATGGAGTAGGACTGTGGAATAAAATAAGCAGCTGACTGCCATCATTATTTTTGTGCTAACTGCAAAAGTCATTTTTTTTTTTTTTTTTTTAAACCACAGGCAATTTCTCAACAAGACCTGGTACACATGGCTATTCAGATTGCCTGTGGAATGAGCTATCTGGCCAGAAGGGAAGTTATCCACAAAGACCTGGCTGCTAGGAACTGTGTGTAGGTGCCATGAGCTCACCATGTCATTTCAGTGGACTGGGGGCTCTCCCCAGGAGTCACAGTGGGCATCGTATGGTATTGAAGAGTAACTGTGATCCATATGTTTTAAATACGCCGATTGTATTTGATGTTCATGTCTCTACTTTTCAGCATTGATGACACACTCCAAGTTAAGATCACAGACAATGCCCTCTCCAGAGACTTGTTCCCCATGGACTATCACTGTCTGGGGGACAACGAAAACAGGCCAGTTCGGTGGATGGCTCTGGAAAGTCTGGTTAATAATGAGTTCTCCAGTGCTAGTGATGTGGTAAGTTCTGGGATTCCCGGATATCAGCAGGCTTTATGTTTTAATTTTTTTTTTTCTATTTTTTTAAATCTAGTAATTTTTCCCTGAAATGTTTCAATGAGAGAGCAAGCGTAGTAAGCTCCATTCAGTTTCTGGAAAGAAGCTGTGACCCAAACCATGATCTGTTACTGTGCGTAATCACATTTCATCCTCAGAGTAGCCCTGTGAGGGGGCTGTTAACACTATGAAGTAGCTGGACACTAATATCCCAATTTTAAAGGTGGATATCAAGCCTTAGAGAGGTTTCCATAGCTGATTATTTTTCTTTTCTTATTTAAGTCTCAGAATGACCAACTGGTTGCCAGATCATAAAGATTTATTGTTTTCTTCTTTTCAAACAGCCTCTTCCAACATTATGATCTGTGTAATTTATAATTCCCCAGATGTCACTTTCTTCCCTTTTGTCGGTTTCTGAGTAGTTCTGCCCACCAGAGCAGATCATAGAGTGGGATCCTTTATACTTAGTGATGAATAGTTTCAGAAGCTGTGTTTACTTGTGGGTATTTTGCAGATATTTTAAGTTGCTCTCATTTTTTATTTATTTATTTTTGATTATTCATTTATTTATTTATTTGACAGAGAGAGAGCACAAGCAGGTGGAGTAGGAGGCAGAGGGAGAGGGAGAAGCAGGCTCCCTGCTGAGCAAGGAGCCCGATGCCGGGCTTGATCCCGGGACTCCGGGATCATAACCCGAGCCGAAGGCAGACACTTAACTAACAGCCACCCAGGCACCCCTTAAGTTGCTTTTAATTTCTCAGTTTTTAGTCTGATTTGAAAGATGGATTTATTTTCCTGTCTCTTGCTTATTGCAGTTTATTATTATAGCTGAATAGCTAGAGATTAGGTGAAACTTCTGCTTATAAGGTCCCACTCTATGACCACTCAACAATGTTAGTGTTACATATAAAATCTTATAGATTGTTTGCTTCAAAGTTTCAGTTGTAAAAATCGGGCTTACTATATTATTGTATCTTGTGTCTCATCAATATGTTTTATTTATAGTATAGGGTTACCCTTTTACTTCCAAGTTTGTATGCTTTAAGGATTACTCTTAATATTACTCATTTCCCCAGTGTATTAGTGTCCTCTGGATGCTGTAGCAAATTATTGCAACTTTGGTGGTAAAACAACAGAGATTTATTCTCACAATTGAGTTGTGGAGGTCAAATGTCTGATATCAGGGTATAGGCAGGGCCATGCTCCCTCCAGAGGTCCTAAGGGGCAAACCTTCCTTGCTTCTTCCGGCTTCGGGTGGCTGTTAGCATCCTTCATGGCTGCATCTCTCTGCTTCATGTTCGCATCACCTTCTTCTCTGTGTATGTCTGTTTCTTAAACTCCTGCCTCTCCCTTATGAAGATACGTGTGATTGCATTTAGGACCCACCTATATAATGTAGGATAAGCTTTTTTGAGAGGAGGAAAGAGTTGCATTTTGTTTTTGATTTTGAGTTTTCTCAAATAATATGAAAAGAGAAAGCAGAGTTTGATTTTAGGCTACCACACAGCTGCTGTACTGAATATCATTAAGGACCAATTTTACTCTTATTGATATGATACTAGTTTTGGGCGTTGCCAGATCTTTTTTTAGAAGTTCTGAATTATAGCTGGAATTCTTTGCCAGCTTCTACATTAAGCAAAGCTGTTTTCACGGGGGTACAAATGAGTTTAAAATTTGGTTTTAGCACATAGCTTTCAAACATAGTATCAGTTAAACTAGAACTATATGGTTTTCAAATCTACCCCTTTAGTAGAAAGGCTACATCTGAATGTTTTTGAATGCAGAAAAGTAAAAGAAACTTTGTTCGGTATTTTTTTTTAATCTTACTCCATTATTGATTTAAAATATTAAGTCACTCATCTCTTTGGGATCTTTATATTTTTTTCAGTGGTTGATTTTTGAAATTTATGATTTTGTTACTCATTGAAATATAGCATAATTGCCTTAGCAGAAATGAAGGGGCAATTGTGTTGAACCCAAAACTAGTCTAATGGGCGGGAAATAGATGTTTCTTAAATGACAAGTATGCCATGTAACTTCAGAAGATTGGGGATTGTTTGATTATTCTCAGAAAAAATGATTATTCTCTTAGAAAAAGGAATATTGATTGATAGGTCATATTTCAAGGGGATATACGAGATGGCCGGTTGTGCTGTTTGCTTGCACATGGAAGCCCCCAAAGTATGCATTGCTTAATTTAACGTATTTGTATATTTCTGTGTAGGCATTCCATTGTATATTTAAGCAGTAATAGGAATTGTGTTTTACAACATTTATGATTAAATATTTCACAGGAACACCTAAGTGAAAATTAAATTAGATAATACAGTTTCGACCAGTGAGACTATAGTTAATAATACATCCCTCAGTAATGTGATCTACATCTTTTCAGCCAGGTACACTGTCCTATATTAGCTGATAAAATCTTAGTTGAGGATACATGATTTAGTTAAGCAAATATTTCAAAATTATACTTAGAATTAGTTACTTTTATGGTTATGGTATTTTAGAAATATTGCAGGAGTTCACATATTTTATGTAAGAACTTGTTTTCTGTCAGAATGTAGTTGTACTAGATATCTTGTTGCTGCTTGAGCACTTGACAGCTTTATTTTTAAAAAAAATCTCTGTGAACTTAATGGTGAGCAACTTAACAGGAGACTTACTTTAAAATCATAATTACTTTTAGTGTGTCTTGGCATAAACTTACTTGAAATGTCTGTGTGACCCAAATTCTTCTGGCTGTACTTAAAATGTGATGGTGAGAGTACCCATTGATTTACATTTAGCATGGTTAACCCCTAAAATGTTCAGATTTTTCTTCTTTAGATTCTTAGTAATTCATTTATTTTATTTTATTATTTTTTTTAAAGATTTTATTTATTTATTTGAGACAGAAAGAATGAGAGAGAGAGAGAGCGCACATAAGGGGGGGGGGAGGGTCAGAGGGAGAAGCAGACTCCCTGCCGAGCAGGGAGCCCGATGCGGGACTCGATCCAGGGACTCCAGGATCATGACCTGAGCTGAAGGCAGTCGCTTATCCAACTGAGCCACCCAGGCGCCCCAGTAATTCATTTATTTTAAAGTGTGTGTGTGTGTGTGTCTGTGTGTGTGTGTGTGTGTGTGTGTGTGTGTATTTCTTCCCCCTAATATCTTTTGCCTTGGATAATTAAGATTAAAAGGAATAGGAACACTGTTCTGTTTCCTATGACTGTCATACAAATATTAGTGTAAAAATCCATTTTTCAGTTTTCTGGGATTGAATATTTTTGAATTCTTTATTTTATTTTATTTTATTTTATTTGAGAGAGAGCACAGAGGGAGACTGAGAGGGAGAAGCAGACTCCCCACTGTGCAGAGAGCCCTACACGGGGCTCGGGGCTCGATCCCAGGACCCTGAGACCATGACCTGAGCCGAAGGCAGATGCTTAACTGACTGAGCCACCCAGGCGCCCCTACTTTTTGAATTCTTATATTAAAACACAAATGTTAAAGATTGTTTTTTAACATTTGTATTGAAAATATGTACATATAATCATTATTCTCTGTTCCTGTTTTTCCTTTATAGATGGAGTTGGGGGTTCAAAAACCACACTTAATATGCTACTTTGGGGCTGGGAAAGTTTATACATAGTCATATGCAAAATAAGTAATGTAAAGTCACTCTCACCAGTCTCTACACATGTAAAATACATATTTCAGGTTTAAATGTAACACTTAAGAAATGGTATTACTGGGCGCCTGGGTGGCTCAGTTGGTTAAGCGACTGCCTTTGGCTCGGGTCATGATCCTGGAGTCCTGGGATCGAGTCCCACATCGGGCTCCCTGCTCGGCAGGGCGTCTGCTTCTCCCTCTGACCCTCTTCCCTCTCGTGCTCTCTATCTCTCATTCTCTCTCAAATAAATAAATAAAATCTTTAAAAAAAAAAAAAAAAAGAAATGGTATTACTGCCTTGGAGAGGGCATTTTCTTTGTCCTTTAAAAGATCCTTAACATTTTTGCATTTTTTTAATAGTTGAAAGTTCTATGTGATTTGTTTGGAAATACATTAATGTTTTCCATCTTAAAAATAATACATTGCATCTCTTGCTTGTGTTTTCACAGTTTTTACTGGAAGGATTCAGTACTTCAGTATGTCAAGATTCTTATAATGTTAATATCAGCTTTTAACTGTTGAACTTAGGAAATATGCACAACTAGATTTTGACTAGTTATAAATCTCTTTTATTATTCCAAGCTATGACATCATCTTAGGCAGTCTTAAGAATTTCTGGATATTGTTTTCATCAGATGTAGATACCACCATTGATTTTTTTCCTGTAACTTTCTTTTCCTTTATTTGAAAATAGATTTCTTGATTTATTTCTTCTTTCAATTATTTAGGTAATTATTGTAGCTAACATAATTCCGCTTTTAAGAGACTACATCCTACTAAGAGACTAAATGCAATCAGGAATGCACAATTAAGTTTCTTTCTTGGTGCTTTTTTGTCTTTACAGTATTACATTGTGTTTAAAAAACATTTTCTTGGGAAAAACAAGTTAAGGAAATGATTTCCATGCTAATCTTATCAGCATGGCTTATAGCAATGAGGAGACTCTTTAAGGTACTTGAACAGTTTTCAGGGTGTAGAGTAAATTAAAATGTTTTCCTGTGCCTTTACAATATTTATTTTGTGAACATTAAAGATGACCTAGAAGAAGAAAGGAAATCTGCAAAGTTATCCAGATACTATATCTACGGCAGAGTGCTTCTTACTGCTCTTGTTTGCCCAGTGTCATGGAAAGTCATTGCCACACCCTGAGCAGACTTGAGCAGGAGAAACATTCATAATATACCCATGAAGAGTGGTCTTCTGAACTACTGTGGTATCAAAGAGAAAGGTATAGTTTTCAGAGAATGCTTACAGAAAATTTTGTTTTATGTTGTTTCTTTATTGTTAATTTAGAATAATGCTTAGGTTCC